CCCTTTTGGGCCCCTTCACAGACCCAACTGACTGATTTCCCTACCCTTTTATATACTTCAGCTAGTGAAATCCCTACCCTTTCATATACCTGAGGCCTGAAAAAGATACCCCTTTCGGGCGGAGCCTCCCCGTATAGGCCATCATAGGGAGTACCCCCTCCCCCTCTCGGGTTTAAATCACCTACGTAATTTAGTTACTTCTTCCAAGTATAAACCCAAAACGCGTTTCCCTGAAACCACACTCAACCCCCAGAGGTGTAGATCTATCTTAAACACAGCGTCCACAATATAAAACACAGAAAACAATGACGTACTACCATGCGTCTATACTATCGTTTTTTCAACGTTTTTGATCATTCATACTAAGCCATGCTTTCGAGAGTGTTTTTGGAACCACCGTCTTTTTAATCGTTTTAGTGTATAAACGCGAGGACAAAACGCATAAAAACGTCTCCTGCTTTTAATCGAAAAAGGCATACACGTGCTTTTAAAATAAAATCCCAAAATAAGGCCGATTTTACTGGAAACACAAGCAGTTTCGCAGATTGGCTATCCGTCAAGGATTGGAAAATCTTGTGGAGGTTTTGAAAGGCACGTTTTGTCAATTTTATGCATGCATTTTCTTCATTGCTTATCTCCTAGGCGGATGAAACTAGAACCAAAAAAGGGCGTCTGCTCTCCGCAGGCTAATCAAGCCAGAACTTACACGGAGAAATCGGGAGCTATTTATGTAAAACGACTTACTTGTTTGGTTATAGCCCATCGACTTTCTGTTAATCAAAGAACTGAATAAAAGTTAGTGGTGATGACTAGATACTGCTATGATCTGCTATTATTTGAGGATCTTCTTTACTTTTTCAAATTATTTAACTATTCAGAAGATAACTTCACAGAAGACTATTAACTTTACTGTCAGTTTATTCTTGACAACAACTGAAAAGCAAGAATTCCAAACACTATAAATAACAATAAGAACTTAAGAATCGTGAAGTAGTATTGTCGCGCGTGAAGTCCTCAGAATACACTGGCGCTATTGCAAACAATCAAACGTTGCTTAGGTAGACGTTAACAGAAGAGAAAAAACGCACATTAAAATACTTAAAGTGACACTACTCTACTGTGTGATGAGTGAAAACTGCTGCAGTGTTCAATAAGGAAGGAGCATTTGCCAGTTCAAGGGTCCCAGCCCCAGGGAATTTAACACCCAAGACCAAAAAAATTCTACTGCACGGAGGGGAGGGGCATGGGCGCAGCTAGAATTGACTGGTGCATTACCTTGTCCTTTCAGCGACATAGCACTATCCAGATCTCTGGGTAGTGACGAGTCATCAGTATGGAATTCTTGCGCTCCTTTCTCAGACGTCATTTCGCAGGCAAACCAGTAGCGGCGTCGCGAAATGTCGGGTGTTTTCTCAGGCTAGATACAGAGTGCTTCGATATCCAGTCTAGATGCACAAGCGCTTTTATCCGTAACCGCCTAACTATTTACATTTTAAAGGCTGCCACAGGTCAATAGTAGTGGCCTAACGATGACAATACTTTTTCTCGTGTTGAAGGAATTATTCGACCTCGGTCATTTTTCAACTTTAGCAAACGTCTACTGATTATGTTAACTCGTGCTAACACATCAAGTTATTACCAGCAAGTTATCCATGTTTCTCTACCAAAAGATTTTGATGCATCACGTGGTGTGGACATCAGTACAGAGGTACGGTAAAAAGGGCAGCAAAACGAGTTGAATACCGATGCTGAGCGTTTTTTCACCCACCAATCAAATCTGTCTTGCTCCAGGTTGCGAAAAGTTGTTGCAGGAAGTAGTTCTAGAGATCACTAATACAGAGACAGGACGACTTGATTCTAAGTGCAGTCATTACTCGTTTCGAAAGGACCTCGTTTTTAACTTATAATCTCCCTTTGTCACTTTGTTACCATCGTTTTTTTAACCTTTGCAAAGAAATTTCCATGTTGAAAAGAAGTCTGCCACTATCGCTGTCGTGACTCACACTCAACTTGTTTCTCCTTCTTTCTACTGTCATCATACAAAAGAGAACAATGAGAAAAAACCCTTTGAGCCAACCATCTCCTCTCCGCGATATTCCAATTACCATTAAAGTTCATTATCCCTCAAAACGTCTTCACCAATCGCGGTTGCTTGATGCAGTGGTGGTTCCACAGGAAATCTTTTGCGATTATTTCCGTGACTTAATGGGAAAACTGCAGCTGTTATACTAGCCTGTGTACAGCCCGACTCTCCCTAAAACAATTTCAGGCGAGGGTGCGGCTGTACACAGGCTACTGTCATAGTTTACACAGCGTCAAGGCAGCTGAAAAAACCTTACCCAACTCAGTTTACAGAAGAGGCCAAACCGAACCTCAATTCAGTCCACTACCTAACCACCACGAAGTACTGGTGAAGCACGATTCTAGCGTATGGAAGAGCCTTCTACATTAGTATTCTTTACGGCCGTTTCCCTGGACTCTTTTGATTTCGACACGAGTTCTTGACCAAGAGCTCTCTTCTTCCCCTCCTACTTTTAACCTCCCATATTTACTGGAGTCCTGTAGGAAAGCTTTTCATTAAACCACCGAGAGGTGCAAAGATTAACGCTAGGAAGTGGTGATGAGAAAGAACACCTAATTGATCCACATCGCTGGACTTTCTCTCGATTCAGAGGTGTTAAAAGTGCATGTCGTGAATAAGACATTCACCATTTGTTTGCCCCCCCCCCCCCACTTAAAGCACTGTTTTCAACTTCTCTTAGCAGCTCAATCGTATTAAGAGAAACTGAAAACAGTACCCTTACTCCTGCACAACCTTAGAGGGTAAACGAAGTGTGGTATGGAAAGGGAGAAATGAAGAATGGGTTAAGAAAATTAATTCGCTACTTTTGGTGTTTATCCTTGGCCAGTTATAGAACCAAATTTTCCAACAAATTAGGACGCGGTAAAAGGATCGCGAATTTTCAGCCGTCCCATAATTTCTCCACTGTTGGATATACACCACAGTCCTAAATTTTCAGTCTGTGAAGGAAATCTTAAATTGTGAGCATTCAAATGAAAACTCATTACTAGTACTTTTATATGATACTGTTTTAACTACAGGATTTTTTCAAAGAACTCTAGACGTTCTTTCTCGAGTAAGGAGCACTGGCTCCAAAAGGGATTGACCTTATTTTGATGTGTATTCACCAAAATTAATTTGCGACCAATAATTGTAAGTCTATGGGCGGTAATATATTCAGTAACGAAACCACGAATTTTCTTACTATACTTTGAAATGTTTTGGCCTTTTACAATTTTTTCCAGTTAAAATCCTACGTGTGAGTAGTTATTCTGACCTCTACGGCAGAAAATCAGTCTGGCGTTTGTCTCGTTTCTTGTTTGTTTGTCTGTTTTCGAATTTGTGTTAAAATGTGTGCATTTTGCCTGTTTTGATGTTGGCAGCTTTTGAAACAGAACCGGCGTTTGCTTTGGGTGGATTCATTCGCTCTTTTTGCGCTTTTCCCATAATACACCTTGTTTGCCCCCAAAATTTTGCACAATCACTGTTTTTAATTCTCTTGGGACGACTGTAATACCCAGGGGAAATGAAAAACAAACGCTACGCAAACGTTTGGGGGGCAAACAAAGTGAATTTTGGGAGATGTGCAAACAGTAAATTTGCAAAATTCGCGTATAGCGGTCGCATTTGCACGTTGGAATTCGTTATTGTTTTCAAGCTCCAAAATAATAATGTGTGTGCTTTAAATGAATCCACCCTATGTTCGGCAGTATTCTACTGAAATCGGTCATAGCCTGTAGGTTGGATTGGCTGGGCATTTTCGTGTTCTATTGAGAAAAAAGAATTTTTGGTTAGTTTGGTTGATCAACTTTTTCAACCAGCTCTGGGCTCGGTTGAAAACGATGTGTGGTATCTCAGTGCCGACCTATTATTTGGGATTTCACGCGACGCTCCCTCCTCTATACGTTAACTTTTCCTAACTGACAGTCAGCACAGTAACCGTCCCGATAAGACGTTTTTACCGATGTCACGCAAAATTGCTGTGCGTAATGCTAAATATTCAAATAAAAATACGTCTTCATAAATCGACTTGTCATACTAAATATAATGAAACCCCAAAATGTGGCAAGCAAAAAAATCCGTTGAAACTCTCAAAAGCATATGAGCTTAAAATTGCTAATTTAAAAAAGAAATGTATGCCAGGGGGGCAAGCATTGCAAACCGCTATGTATTTCTTTGTAAATTTGGACCCCTGTTTTCAATAAAAGGCATTAAAAAATTGCTCTTTTGCGTAAAATCGGTAACATCAGATGGGTTTTGTGGTATTGTTTTACTCGCTCCGGCACTCAGAAAGTCTTGGACTGACATTAGGGAGCTTAAGCAGCAACGTTTTTGAGCGACGCACGTCAACCGGAAGTGGCCTTTTTTCATTTTTTGACGGTGGTTTCGCGCAAATTTTCAGTCAAATCGCCTCTATAACAGTAAAGAAACTAAGGAATACAAATTTTATATCATCAAGGCATGTTAAGAGGGAAAATACCTCACTTCCGGTTGACGTGCGTCGCTCAAAAACGTCGCTGCTTAAGCTCCCTATTCTAGCCCCGCGGACAGAGACGTATTTTCGGTCGTCCCTTCTCTCCACCCGAAAAGTTTTCGAGTGGAGAGATGCGACGACTGGAAATACGTTTGCGTTCACAGGCTACAGTCTTTCACAAGGGGTCCAACCAAAAGAGGATAAAAATGTTTCCTTTTAAGAACATCAACCAAATTGACCAAAATCGGTTGAAACTTTGTTCTCAATAGAACATGTTATCAGTTGAACAGAGTGAGCGATGAACAGCAACAAATCAGGAGACAGCACAGCAACAACGCCAACAGGAGTTTGCAACAGCATGGGCTCCTCGACGGCAGCAAAACACAGCGACAATCGAGGTCACAGCATGACCAGTCAAAACACAGCGGCAGTCGAGGTCACGGCATGACCAGTCACCCCGCACAGCAAGTATAAATAAACTGCGCCTACAGGAAAGGCCAATATAATAAATTTAACAACAAATACAACCTAATTTCATCAAACAAATGCATAGAGGAAACATTAAAACTAATTTTCAGTCTTCTGCGTCCTCACTGACAACTATTTCATAAAGGTTGTATTTTTAAAGTTATTAAAGTAATAGGGCCCGCGAGAGAATGCGGAATGCACTTTGTCAAATATTCGCAAAGCGGAGTTACTTTTCTTGCACTCTACAAAAAAAGGAGCATTTGGGAAGTGCTTCCCTTCAGATTAAGCTAAGCACACTTAGCATGGTTTCCTGAGAAGTGGAGGATTTCTAAGAGAAGGATGATAAAGGGGGCAGCTAGTGTGCAATTTTTGCATCTAGGTTGTGAACCTTACAATAACCATGAAGTGCTTCCTATAACATTAGACAAAATAATTTGAAAGATTCTAAATAAAACTGAAAACAAATTAAATTACATTTGGTGTTACTTGCAAAGTGAAACAACACCCTGACAATCATAGCCAATCAATCGCAAAATTACTTAAGGTTACAATCCGACAAAATATAATGCCCCAAAATTGACAGGCTCCACGAAAAGTATGCATAAAAAGCTAATGCAAACTATGGTTCACTCCTACAACAATCTTATGAGGAGATTATTATTGTTACTCAAGTTCAAAATGAGTGGACAAAATCGTATAGTGTTGCCATTTAAGTGAAACCCCTTTGGAACAACTTCTGCACAGTAATACTTGTTCCCTAAGATTTTGCAAAATTAAATTTGGTTTCTGGGTGAATTTTTCACTTTGTTCACTTTAAGTGAAAAGTTAAATGAAAAACTGTTGAGCTCTAGTGTCACATAAACTTATTCTGCACTAATACCTGGTAAATATATAGCAGTTTTCAATCGAGTGTCTTAAGAGCAAAACTGAAGAAATACCTTTTCAATAACTTTTGATAAAACAATGCAGTACAGCATAGTGCAAGGTAACTGTACTGATTATCGAACAATGCACAGCACGATTCAATGGTCTCAGCTCTGATAGGTTGAGAAAGTAGAACTACTTCAGCACAAAGCATAGCAAATTTTACCAACTTAATTCGTTCGTTGACATAACTGCAATGATGATCAACCCTTTGATCAGAAGATGGTCTTACTGAACAATAATAAAAAGGTTTTAGATTTTTTAACAATTTCTACATTATTTCTATCATTTCTACTTCCTTGAGCTTTTACAATAATTCCCTGAAAAATTACTCTTGACACTCCACATGAAAATTGCCAACTTTACAATCTGTGATTAGAAACTACTTCCATATGTTGCCCATGGAATAACTGCAGATGTTGGTAAAATACTCTCAACATGGCAGACGGCTACTAAAAGGCTACAGTTCTCTTATCCATTAAAAGCTGTGAAGCTAGATTCCCCTCTCTCCCAATTCCCTTCAGGCTTCTGCTGTATAGTGTACACATGCTTACATGCTTTCTTATCCGAAAGAAAAATCTGTTTCCAGACTACATGTATGTAGGCATCAAATTTACTTTTAGGGAAAACCTAGCAGTCATTATCAGTATTTACAGTGTAGTAATGAAGAAAGCGTACTTCGTTCGGCAGTAGTACATCATCTTTGGAGGGATATTACTTGAACAAAGCGAGTAAGAAAATTGCTGTTTGATAATTCCTTTTGCTGGTTAAAAAAAATGAAAAGGTTTGCGGTGGATTGTGTATGTAGCTATTTTGTAAATTCCTTCAAGTCATACCCTGCAGTACTGGAAACTTTAGGCTTAGCAAAATGGAAACTAATGAAACTTCCTGTAGCCTTCCCAATTTCATTTTAACCTTCTTGCCAGTTTCTTATGAGTAACAAACATCCTGACTCTGGAATTTAGCATAGTTTATGGAATGTCTTTCCACCCAACTGAAACTTAACAAAGTTAAGGAAAAACCAAACTATCAAAATAAATTCCACTGAAATAAAAGTGAATGATTTGTTGCCTTAAACATTTTTACGAACAGTGGATTTACCTACAATTTCTAAATCAGCTATCTGAAAAAAAAGAATGGCCCATTTAAGAAGCCTTACAGTGACTAGTGACTTGCAAGATCACAGGTTTTCTGGGGAGCTAAAACAACATAATATAAATTCTACATGAAGCAAAGCTTCTGCGGCAGCTGGGATCAGAATTATGATAGTTCAAAACAAATCTAATTTACTATATTTACAGATAAATCATTACACAAGTCTAAAAATGATGTTTTATCTATTCACATGAAACAGGTGAAATGGTAGGCAAGCAAACTAACACACAGTGTACAGTATGTCTGCAATAACAATATTTTTAACTATTGTAAGCTTTAAGGGTCTCTACCTAAAAAAGAAGAATCCCCTCCATGCACTGCAATGAAAGTTTAGATCCCCTCTCCAACACAGCAGCAAAGCCTGGAAAAGAACACTTCAAAGTGATTACTGCACAACAGTAAATGTAAAAAAAGAAATGATGGTAACTCTCAATCAATCTCATTGTTTTCTGCTCTATCATCATAGACGTCATCATTGCTTCCATCAAGGTTACCATCATCTCTGTCTCCATCACGGCTGGCTCCATTTCTTTCTCTGTCAGGAGTCAAAGACCTTCTCTGCCGGGGAGACTTGGAGCGTGATCTGGACTTCTGATTCTTGGGTGACCTTGAGCGAGATTTTGATTGAGACCTAGACCTAGATTGCCTTGGTTTGGAGCCAGATTTGGAACGAGATCTGGAAGGAGATCTCTTTCGGCGTGGACTTCTAGAGCGAGAACGGCTTTCATTTCTCTTTGGAGATCGTGAGTTGCTATAACGTGACCTACGAGGTGATTTAGACCGGGATTTTGAGCGGCGTCTTGGTGATCTTGAGCGTGAGCGACGATAACTATGAGAAAACACAAAAAAATTAGAAAAAAGTGCTCAAGCTACATAGAAACAGTTCACATTAGCAAAGCCATTGTGTCTCTCCATATGTTTTATAAAATAACTAGTAGTTAAAAACCTATGGTTCATTGTGCTGGTAAACTCATAGAAAACTTAAAGTTATTTTATAAAAGCAATAGACCACACTTTCTATGGGTTTACAGGCTTTTCGCATGTGCTCCCAACATCCCACTTGGGTTATCACGCCAGTAAACCCATGGAAAGTGTAGTCTATTTCCTAAATGAACCATAGACAAGTTATCTCTCTAGACCACTATCTAGAGAGTTCGTTGTAAAAGATATGGGTATTGGGATACGTGAATGGGGTATTGATTTCATGGATAGGCCATTGATTTTAACACTTGTACATGTATATACTCTCTGTACCCTGTTATTATTAAGATAAGCAATTTTTTTTCTTGTTTTTGGTAGACTCATTGCTCTTTGAACACTACTCTGAAAACTTTGGCAAAATTTTAACAAGTGGCATTATAAAACTATTTTAGAAGAAAAATTCAGCAACAAGTTCCACTGTTTTGTAGCTTTGCTAATTATAGAATTTTACCGTTATGTTATGGTCCACTTTCAAGATCAGCACAGAGCAGCTTCGCACTGTCACAGAAACCACCCAAAAATCAACAATCCCACATGAGAGCAGTAGACCTATTCAGTAAGGTTTTTTAGCCAGTGCAAGAGCTATCCAGTGAAGACATAGCCTTAGAAAGACTTTTAGTCTTCCTACATGTAGGCAGTGCAGCTAGACAACAATTTTGAGACATTAAAATTGGAATTAAGCTGACCATTCTTCGAGCACCTCACCCCCGTGCCTTCCCAGAACCAAATGGCTTTTTACCAATTGAGTAAAGCAAAAGGAAAACTAAACTAAATAGAAAATATCAATAATTAAGAAGTGTTTGCAAACTTTCTTTAGACGTTCAACAAGCTCATTAACTCTACAAAATTTCAATGAAAGACGCCAAGGGGCGAAAGACAAAATTTGGATCTATTAGTCTCTCGAGACAATGATATTTAAACAGAATAAGTTTCAAGCAAACTCATGAGGTATAAGTCTGAAAATAGAAATCTCTTAACACAGGCCATTTGTCATGAAACTAGATTTCCGAATCTCAAAAACACTCACCTTCTTCTGGGCGATCTTGAGCGGGAGCGATTCCTCGAGTTGTAGCTGTAGGAGTTTCGATACTGGCGATTACTATTACGTGGTTTATACGGATCGGTGGGTCTCCCATACTTTGCCATCTGAACACGTATTTCTCGTCCATCGATAATTTTGCCATGCAGGGCATCCATTGCGTCCTCGGCGTCGCGTCTTTCATAAAAGCGAACGAATGCGAACCCTCGCGATTCCTGCTTGTAGCGATCTCGAGGGATATAAACGTCACCGAGATCGCCGTATTTCGAGAACACACGTTCCAAATCTCCAATGGTTGTACGATAAGTGAGGTTGTCTACTTTCAAACTAGTCATACCTTCGATGGCAGGAGGACCCCGTTTGCTGTCGAACGACATTGTTGAGGTAAAACTTCTCCTTTCCCACTACAACACAATATGGCGTCCTTCTTGTAAGCACGTGTTGGGAAATACGAGCAATAATTGAACCCCCCTCCAGCAGAAAAACTCGTACCCAGTCCTAGAGAGTGTTGACCGATGGACGTCACTTTTTTTACCAACCTCCGTCTACAGTCAGGGCCGGGTTGTTCAAAGAAGGGTTAAGTTAATCCGGGGTTCGTACGAAATTTGATTTCAGATGTGAAACCTTGAGAAGCAAATTTAGTTTTACTCTTTCTGCCAACAATCTGATGATTGGTTGCTCTAAAAAGAAGAGAGGAAATTACCCAGGAAAATACTTTTGAACAAAAGAAAAAGAAACCCGGGTTAAAATTTAACCCTGGGTTAGCGTTAATCGGCCTTCGAACAAGTGGGCCCAGGTCTAAATTCTCTCCTTTGAGCCAGAGGAGAGAATTTAAAGGTAAACTGACTAAGGAATTGTTAAGGACTGTTCATTACAATTTGCAAACTACAATTCGCTTAAGTTTTCTTTTCGAAAGACGTCAAGGTAGACCTGTCTTTGAACTCCTCTGGAAGTCTGTTCCACAAGCTCGCAGCACTGAACATAAATGACCGCTGTCCGTATGATTGTTAAATTCTAGGCAACTTTAAATTTCTTTTGCTGTTTCTTGTTTCCCTGGCATGGACTCCGCTGAATCTTAAGAACTTCTCTAGTTATAAACGTTGGATCTCTGAAAAGAATATTAAGAACCAAAAACGAGAAGTCCAAAGACTACTGCAAAGCTGATCAGAACAACGTGTATTGTTTTTTCATAACAATATTTCGGCTGGCTATACCAGTCTTTTAACAATGATAAAAATAATAATAATATTATCATTATTATGCTAGTAGCGCGCTTCTGAATAAGGAGCATGGTATTGGAATGACCAATGAAGCTGTCACCCCTTAGGCAGGCACCGTAATCCATCAAGGGCCGCACAAGAGCATTGTAGAACATTACCCTTGCAGGGGATGTGAGAAATTGTTTCGAACGCTTGAGAAGACCAAGTCTCTTGCAGATTTTCTTTCTGGTCTTTTCTGCGTGTTCGTCCCAGGTAAGACTGCTGTCAAGATAGATTTAAAGCAGTTTGGTGCTGCTGACAGTCTCTATCACTTGATCGTGGAAAGTGATTTTTAGAGAGTCTTCTTTCTTGGCAAGTGATGGATGTTTAGGCTTCCTTCATATCAGTATACTCTTAGTCTTCTCAGCGTTCAGCTCCATTCAGTTATTTGCTGCCCGCTTGTTGATGTTTCTAAGGTCCTCCTCCAAAGTCGATGCCACTTCCATGACATATTATGGCCTGCTACAACTTGTGTGGTATCGACGGCATAGATGTACATGCTCTTGTTTGTTACATTTAATGGTAGATCATTAATGAAAATGATGAACAAGAGCGGACCTAGAATTGAGCCTTGTAGAACCCCTGATGTTACGGGAAGGAGCTGGAAATCACACCATTGATGGAAACTTTGTAGTCGCCCTTCAAGATAGGACTTGAATCACTGTATCGACACCTTTGATAGTTGGTAAGCCGCAAACTCCCTGAGCAAGACCCCATGGTCAACGAGGTCAAAAGCTTTACGAAAATCGATTAATGATAGTCCTGTCAAAAGACCATCGTCCATGTTCATTAAAAATGCTATCCACAAGTTCAATCATGGCAGTTTCGCAAGAGTAGAACGGTCTGAAACCTGACTGGTATTTGAATAACAGGCCATGTCCGTTTAGATACTCGTACAATACGAGATGAACATGTCGCTCGAATATCCTAGACATCACAGGCAGAATGCTAATGGCTCTGTAGTCGCCTACATTAAGATAGTCGCCCACCTTGAACACGGGCTTAAATTGTGCAACTTTCCATGAAGTAGGGAAGACTCTCTTTGAGAGACATAGGTTTAGAGCAGCTGCCTGTAACAGACGTGCACTTATCCCATCCAGTCCGGTGGCCTTTGCAGGAAGAAGATGAAACAGGTGTTTGAATACAGACGAATGTGATATATCGGGAGTATCAAAGGTGGTAGCGTTGGAGACTCTTTCACGTACAAACTCTTTAAGTGCGGTTAGATCTAAGTGAATGTCATTTGACGATTGATATTTCGAGGCAACAGAGACAAAGAACTTGTTGAAGGCGTTGGCGATCTTGACGGGGTCTTCGTGAGTGACATATTAATTGCTGCCAATGGAAGGCTTTTCAGTGGAACCCATAGCGTTCTTTAAGAGTTTTCCATGAACTCCCGTGAGTCTCGCCTATTTTCAAGTGAATCGTGGAAAAACGCACTTTTGGCTCGTCTGATAGATCTAAACGTTTTATTGCGTTGTTCTTCAGAAGCCTGATCTAATTTACGAGCCTTTTTCAAAAGCCTATCCCGATGAACAATATTATCGTGTATGGTAGGTGTCATTCATGCTGCTCTCTTGGTCAACAGTGGAACATGATCGACAGCAACATTAAAAAATGTGCCATTGAAGAACTGAATTGCGTCATCCTGATCATGTCTTATACATTCCATGGTGCTTTTTCTAGATCGAAGTTCTTCCATTTACGGTACTTGATGGTCTTTTCGATGTTTTTGAATTGATCTCTTCTAATATTTCCTCACAATGCATCCTGGCAGATGATCTGAGATACCAATATTAAGCACCTTGGTCAATACATTAGAATATGTTCAGGTCGGTCAGTGGTGTACACATGATCTAAGCAGGTTCTGCTAGCTGAGAGAGTTATTTCCTTGATAAGCTGGCTCAGTCTAAGGCTGGAGGTTATATCTTAGTAGACGGTGATTAACATGGTCGTCATCCAATGCGTTTCTGTTTATGTCTCCTAGGAGAAGTATCTCCTTGTCAGTATTGTAAAGTTGATCCAGGGTGTTCTCAAACTGCTGGTCCATATCAGCTTATATCCGCAGACGATTCTGGACGATATACTCCAACAAGAAAGAATGGACAATTGGACTTATAGGGCGCGATCAAGAGCATAGAAAGGAATGTTCTTTGCAGTAGGATCAAACCAACGCGTACAAGGAGCATTGAAAGTAAACAAAACCGGGATGTTTAGGAGGCTTTAATGGACGACCAAGTGAGATCAAGTGAACCCTACTTTGATTTTCACAAGAGTAGAACGTCAAAGGTAGAGTATTTTGAGGCCTGCAGATGCTCAAGAGTATCATCCATACAAACAACGTCAAACAAAAGTGTTAACTGCGTGTTGGAGCAATGATTTCGGATTCTTTTATAAAGCAAAAGATCCAAGTCAGTCTCTTTCTCTCTCCCAATCTCATGCACTGTTGGAGCCAAGTCTTCCGGAAGAAGCACTACCCTGGGTGCCATTCATCCTCGGAGACCCAGGGGCAGTCAGTCAACTTTCGTCGCGCCTGGCTTCCGACCCGACTGACATGCCCCTGGGGGCATCAGAGGATGGGTGCCATTCCGAGTGCAAAACTTGACAAGTTTATACCGGCCAGGAACAGCAAGGAAACGTTTCGCTAAGGTATGTCAGCTTTGCTTAATAATTTGACTTTTAATCCATTTAGTGCGATCTAGTTATGCAAGCTTTGGCTGTACCGGCACATTGGACTGATAGAAGCGTCGAATTCACTGAGAAACAGAGGAAATTCTAGTGGAAATTAACTAGGACAACTCCCCGAGGGTACTCCTGGGAATTCTTGGTGGGGGTGTGCCGCCTGGTTCTCTAAATCTTGACCCTATTTCAGACCAAAAAATGTCATTTTCCACACCCGTTTTCAGACCTGGCATCTAAAATCCATAGCCGTTTTCATACCTGGCCTTAAGGCACAAATTATGTCAATTTCGAATTCGCATATTTCGCTTTCTTTCTTATTCATTTGGAACTGAAACGACAATTACGTTTACACACTCTCATATTTCAAGATTCAAGATTCAAGTCCAAAATCGGCAAAATGTAGCCTGTGTACAAACAGAGAAAAAATCGGGGAAAGAGACGTCTGTGAATCGCCGTCGTTAATCGTGTTCTCGTTTCCCTGGACTCTCTGCCAGTGGCTGTGGTAAATAAAAGAAAAGGAAGTACAGAATTCAACGCTTAATCAGAGATCTTATATCTGGATTTCAGCGTGCACATTGCGTGGACGTTTTTCGGCTAATCTCTGTACAGACGCCCCCTGGCGTCTGTACACAGGCTACTTTCGGCCTACATGTGCCGGTCATGACTCGTAAAACTAGACAAAAAAAGGGCTATAAATTCTTGCTGAAAAGAAATGAACGATCCTACTCGAAATCATCGAATGGATCAACTCCTGCATTAAACGCTTGACTGGAAATGTTAACAGTTCTTTCGAGTAGGTTCTGTATCACCATTTAATTTACTGCGCTTTTCACAAACATGCAAATTCTGAAGTTCAAAAGCCAACTGACGATTGCGTTTTTCGCTGCCGTCAATCATCTTAACGGACCTCTTAGGAAACAAAACTTTACTTTAACGGGTTCAAAAGATCAAGGTTTGTGATTTGTGATTGGTGGATTTCGATCCGTTTTGTGTGTTTCTGTGTTTCAAGGTTCGTTGCTTGTGATCGTAATTATGATTGACAGGAGCGAAAAACGCAATTGTGAAGGCGGCTTTTGAACTTTAGAGTTCGCATGTTTGTGAAAAGCGCAGTAAGCACTTTTCTTCAAGTGCCGTGTTGCACCTTACAGGACGATTTGTTTTTTCTTCTCCAGTTTTTTCGGATCATTTTTGAAACGTTAACTATCGAGCGCTAAAGCAAGAGGTGTGGTGAAAGTGATAAAGGATAATAGTCCGAGACTATGATAAATGATCGTGAGGTTTCTTTAGGATAAACTTGCTACAGTTACAACTAGTTCAGAAATCAAACAAAGTTTTCTCGTAAAAATGTCTACCTTAGTTCTTATGTCGATAAAAAATATGTTCTGACAGTCTGAAATGTCAGCCTTCTCCACCCCCCTACCCGTTGGGGCACCGAGA